GGTCCTGATAATACTTCAAGTTGGCTGATTGATCCCCATCGCGGAGTCTGGTGCGAATCATCTCCTCAAAGCAGCTATGCTTGTGGAAAGATGGTGGTGGCCAAACGGCCACTGCAAGTTTAGATACGTCTGAGCATTCACATGTGCATCTCTCCTGCTCTTGGCGGTTTTGGGCCATCATCTGTTCGCGCCAGGCCTGCACCATGCTAGCACAATGCATGACTGCTGGCCCATGCCAGGACGTGTTTGTACATGTATTGAGAACCGCACCTTGTTCTTGATTAGGCCTTTGATCATCCTGCAACCGCAAATGTGCAGGTGCTGCTGAGATAATTCGTGCTGCGCAGAAGCAGTGGACAATACATGGCTGCTTCTCCTCAACGCCTTCAGCCGTATCTGGGGGGCGCCAGAGAGCTCAAGCCCGGTTCTCACCCTTCGAACACGACATGGGCAATTGAGATGCAAGGTGTGACAAGAGTTGCGCACCATTTTGCGCGCATGCCGCATGCAAGGTTTGATCACTGTCTTTCCGTGGTTTTTCCTTTTGCGCACACATACACACTTGCAGCAAACAAGTCTGAACACAACCAGCCTCTCCAGGACGCTCGGCAAGAACTTTTCTCCTGCCTTTGAAACTCATCCGGATCTCATGGTTTCTGTTGCAGCCAAACAGAAGATGACAGAAGTAGACAAACTATCAGGGAGAAAGTAAGACACGGACAGGCAGGATCTCGTTCACGAGGCCGCAACGATGCATTTCCTGCACCAGCGCAGTCAGCAACCTGCATCGCTGAAAACCTTTGCACACTGAAGCGTCACATCCTCCGGCGTCTTCTTCTTGGAGAACAAAACCATCTCAGATGCTATCATCGGGCCTTGGTGCGATGCTTTTCCTGTAGGCCTGAACCACAGAAGTATTATCATCAATGGTTCTGCTTTGTGGCAATCATACTCCGTTCCTTGTTGCGGCGCAAGGGTCCAACTCTCTGGGCTAGGGTGATCGAGGAAGTGATTTCCGGCACCACTCCGAATCTTGCGAATGGTGCCCAAAAAAAGGCGGAATCTGCTGCGTAGATCACATCCCCAAGCCTGGGAGTGCGACATGTTCTGGTGCGGCATCGTGTGCAGTGCATCCCAACACATGCCCTACCGTTCTGAGAACGAGGCATCAGTGTAGTAAATCCTGGCGGATACGCGCGCACAACATAACACAACCAAGACCATGCGCCGCCGAAGACAAAGAATCCTTCGCCGATGGCCGGGCCGTTCACCGCAATAACCAGCGGCTTGGAGAAATTAATCCAAGCATCCTTGCTGAATGAGCTGCGACGACCCATGTGCATCATACACACACGCACACACATGCGGAATGGTATGTGACACCTTGCATCTGAGGCACATACATATTCACATCTGACCAAGTGTTGGCGTCGAACGGGTCATACTGTGAGAGGACCGCCTTGATCTGCTGAACCCGCGGCGGATCGGCAGCCGAATACGTAGCTTTCCTTCCCGTCCTCAGCATGGCAAAGCCAAAGGAGACCTCCCACGAAAGACGGTCATCTGCTTCCTGCCGTCACGACCTACAAGCGAGGCACACATCTGCTCCAGAGCAGAAGTAGCGCCCGGCTCCAGTTAGAACTGCACAAAGGACGCTTTCATCGTTTTCTGCCTCCTCGAATGCAGCCTCAATGCGACAAGCTTGTTGGAACATTTTCACTTGCTGCTAAGGAGCGCTACGAGCACGATCGATCCTTCAGTCAAGACGCGATCATGTCACAGTGCACCTCGGCGATTGGAGCTTGGGACACCGGCGTCGAGCATGCTTCCCATCAAGACGTGGTTAGAACTAGAATCTAGGAGCCAATCCAAACAAATCTTGAGCGGTCAATCTCGGAAACTGCTTGTGGCTTTAGGCAGGAGCCCAGTTTCATGCCTGCCCGAACCTCCTCCTCCTGCTGCTCAGACTACTACTATGATTATGATCATTACTACTACTACCATGCGCCGGCAAACGAGAGCCGATCAGCGAGCAAGATTGCACGTCAAGCTTGGTCAGTCATTTGCGGCGGCAAGATACCGGTCATCTTGCTCCACTTGACGACTCGCACCACTTGTTTGGGTTGGGGACCGGCAACCTTGCTGATCTTGGTAACCAGGATTACCAAGATTACCGCACCCAAGTGGTGCCAGCAGTGCAAAATAACCAAGATTAGCAAGATGCTAGTCAAACACGATCGGCTCTCAATTGACGGCACAGTGTAGTACTACTGCTACTACTACTACTACCACTACTGCTACTACTACTACGACGACAACTACGGCTACTGCTACAACTCCACTCCACTCCCACTCCTACCCCCACTCCCACTCCGACTCCTACTCCTACTTCTACTACTACTACTGCAGCTACTAGTCCTTCTGCTACTGCTGCTACTCCTGCTGCTGCTACCACTACTGCTACTACTACTGCTAAGATATTGAAGCAGGTCTCTACAGCTATGCCTGCCCCTAACTACTACTACCACCACGACTACTCCTAAAACTACTCCAATCCAAGACACCACCACCACAACTAATCCTGCTTGCTACTACAACAACAACTACTACTACTACTACTGCCACTCCTGCTACTACTGCTGCTGCTGCTGCTACTACTGCTGCTACTACTACTACTACTGCTACTACTATTACTACTACTGCTACTACTACTACTAGCTTTTTGCCTCCTGCATGGCTGAGTACACGAAGCAGGGAGTTAAGTGACATCCTGGTGAATTCAGCCCGACATCTGTCATCAGGCGTAGCATTTGCCTTCATCGTGAGCTGATATGCCATCTAGGCCACAGCGTTGACATGCCAGTTTACAGCAAGTCAATTGTAGTAGTAGTAGTACTACTACTACTACTACTTCTGCTACTACTACTACTACTACTACTACTACTACTACTACTACTAATTACTACTACAAACTACAACCACACCCACAACCACAACCACCACCCCTACCACCCACCACCCCCACCAGCCGCACCACCTCCACCACCACTACAACTACTACTACTGCCCCCCTACTGCTCCTGGCTCATGGCTCCTGGCTCCTGCTGCTGCTGGTGCTCCCACTACGACGAAGCTCTGGCGCAGGTCGACCGTCGAAATTCGACATCGAGCGAATGTTTCGAATCCTTCAAAGTGTCGACAGATCAGCAACGCCAGTTCGGCCACTAAAGGAAGTCGCATCTTCAGGGCCTCGTGGGACCTGGGGAAAAAGCTTCCTATGCAAGGATAGTTCGATGGTACTCTCAATCCTTTGAATTGAAACAACGTCTGTCCATAATTCTACTGATTCTACTGAACAGGTTCGTATGCGCACTCTGAAATATACCATCCACCTGGAAGTTGACGGCGTTGAGAACTTCAGGCCGATTTCGCGTGATGATGGCCACACCGTCCTGCCGATTCCCAGCGAAGCGGCTTCGAGAAAGAGTCATCATCTTTCATAGTCTTTCAGTGGATGCAAAGAGGTCCTGCACTTCGTACCCAACCGTCCGAAAACTAGGGGCACTCGGTTCCCGGGCAGGGAATCGCCGCCAAGGCAATCGAACGCCTTCTACATCGCACTTGTCCTTACCGTGGCGGTGACTCGTTTTGATCATTTTCGGGATCTGTGGTTTGTCCTGTCCTTCACTTTCTCGTCACTTTCTCCTCACTGGAAGCGAGGTCTGCTCTCGATTCCCGTTCCCGCTACATTGCTCCCTGTGTGCCGCTTCTCTCCTTGGGAACCACAGTCACTCTCTCGGTGCGCTTGTCACAGACTCGGTCGGGTACCTCTCCCTTCCTATCTTCCTACTCCGGTTCCTCTTACAGCCAGTGCTTATCTTTGCCCGGAGTCGCTTCGATACGGCTGGCCAGCCGTAGCATGTGCTGAGAGGACGGCGATTCGGCGCATGACCGCAATGTCAAGTTGCTGCTGATGCTATGCAGTAGTGCCCAAGGGTGTCACTATGTGTTTCAGAGGGCTCCGGGGCATCAGTGTTTCGCCATGTTTACATGCGATGTTGAACAGGCTGACGGCAGCAGCTTCAGGTCGTGAGTGCCGTGGCAAACATGCGCGGCGAGTCTACAATGTCACCGTGAGTCCATGCGGGCATGAACACATGTATTTCCATGAACGCGCCATCACGCGAAGTCATGTACAGACAGTAGACTCGGGAACCACAAAGCTAGAGCGCATGCAGATTGCACTCCGGAAACATGCCGGTCCTGCCTGCCACTCAAAAGCAGATATAACGAAACAGCTCAGCCCTTGTCCTCTCATTGCAGACTGGCAATCACAAGAATCATCAGAACAGCACGGTAGGGCCGGGTGCAACTGGCCTATCTGCCACCATCCTCTGACATCCACTACGTTACCATGTGCTGCCCTTTCATTCAAAACAGATCTTGGGTGGCTGCAGTACGCCGGCCCAGCGGCTCGGTCCAGCAGAAAAAGGCGAGTCAAACAGAAATGTCTACCTGGCAAGCCAAAAACTGGCCACAACGGCCGGGTCGTTTGTGGTCAATTGACCTCCAGCCGCATATGGGGAGTGCCCATCGAAGCTCACGGGATTGCGCCAACGCAAGCGTGATGGGCAAATGCATGAATTCACTTCAAACACAGTGTGATGCTTGTTGGGCAGGAACTTATCTTGGACATGGCGGGTGCTTTCTTGTTTGCTCACTGCTTGGAAAGGCTGTCAGCTCATGGCCTCGACAACCAACTCCCATCACACTCCATGGGGCCAGGTAGGATCATTGCTTTGACAACGAAACACTTGATAAAATTGCATTCCAAGCACTTCTAGGAGTTCCACTCACTATGTTGAGCTCTGTTGCTCTGAAGGCTTGGCAACATTTGCCGCCAGCTTCTTGAAACAGACAAACATTATGCCACCTTGTGCCACAGTGTGCAGAGGTTGGGAAAACGGCACGCTCAAAAGTCTCACGCACTTTTCCTTCTCCTAAATCCCTGAGCGTCCATTCATTCCAGGACCGCGCCCGAGGAAGTTTGGTGGCAACGAAGAGGGGCGCGCCTTCGCCTTTGCACTTGCATCTGATGTTTGTGCCGTCTCGAAATGGAGGAAGGTGTTCTTCAAGCGAACATTGAGCTCTTCAGAGCGCTCCCGTGCTTCGTACTCGGAGCTGCCACGACTCACCGCTCTGCTGGGCTGCTGAGAGGACTCGGTGGGCTCGCCGGGCTCTGGAAGGCTGAGTAGCTCCGAAAGCGGCAATGGCCGTCGCGGCTCTTCTGCTTGACGGCTGCTGTTGACGGTGTAGGAAGGTTCCTCAGTAGTTTGGCGGCTAAAGGCAGTGGTCTGGCGACTGTAGAAGTTCGGGTCCTCTGTAGTTTGCCGGCTGAAGCGACGTCCATCTTCGTCTACCACTTCGGTGGACTGCCTGCTCCAGTTGGAGCCTCCCTTGTCTATCTCGCATGGTGATGCAGGGCATACCCTGTCAGGCTGGCATGGCTGGCCGGTGGTACTCTGCACGGGAAGCCGCAGGGACTCACACCTTGCCTGTCCAGATCCTACTCCTCCTGTTGGTCCTGTTGCTCCTGTTGGTCCTTGTCCACCCTGACCGCCTTGGCCGCTGAGCCCCTGCAAGATCAGGGTGTACATGGCGGCGCTGTGAATGATGCCGGCCTTCGTCGCTGGCATCAACGATTGAAGCTGGGAGGCCGGCTGATCTCCTTCCTGGCCAACCGTGGCTGGCACCTTCAAGGGCTTCAGCATCGAAGAACAAATTCAAGCATTGATTCAATCTCGGCCTGTGCCTGCGCTGGCTCTTGTGGAACTTGTGAAGAAGCTGCCCCGGTTGCTGCCCGTTTAGACTTCGCAGAGGAGATGTAGCTTGGTCGGAGCTCATCACGGCTGTGAGCAAACTTGCACGTGACACCTTGGCCAGCTTAGGTCTTTGAACACTGGATGACACGTTGATGTTGCTACGGTATGCTGCAGGCCAAGGTGCCCTGCTCACATGTACCACCTCGGACAACAGCCCAAACATTGAGTCGCATCACAGCACGACAGCACAGCAATGCAGAGCTTTACTCAACTCCTCCAAATGCTTCTTGGCTGCTCTTCATGAAAGGCTCACACAGCCTGGTCTTGGAGAAGTCGGGAAATTGCTTGAGGTCGTCGACGGCGTGCGCAAAATTGCAGGCTTCTCCACGTGAGCAGCAGCCGGCTAAAAAGAACTTGCCTGAGCAAATGCCCTCCACTACGCTTCGCTCAGGACTCCACAAATAAGATTTGGAATGTGAGCGCTTCGCTCACCGCAGCGCACAGGCGAAAGCAATACCAGGACCAAGGTCTCACAGGATCGGTCTATCAGCAATCGGACCAGTGGTTTTTCGCCACATTATGGACACCATGCCTAAACGAACCTCCTCGGTAATGATGAATGTGACAATGCTCGCCAAGGTGCACAAACGAGTTCCCTTGAACAACCTCCGCCGTGCTACTTCTTCATCTTCTCCTCTCGTCTTGGTGCCGGGCTTAGCCGCCATCTCTGCAGGCATCTTTCACCTACCTTGCACTGTACATGAACTATGCGGCACGCTGGAACTACCCGAGCCAAGATGCACCGAGATCAAACCTGACAAACAAAGCGAGCCCGCACTCAAATCATGTTGGAAAGACGCACATTACCAACATGGGCACGAAGACTCGAAGCCCACGGGGATCCGCAGGGCAAGGACCGCAACCAGTGACGTCTCTCAGGGTGAGCCGCAAGGAGCAAAGCTGAAAGCTTACAGGCGACTTTTTGCCATCTGGCTGGCTCTGCGCTGCAAGCTCCTCTAATAGAAGACTTGCGAAATAACAATCACTACTGGGGCGGAGGTTCCTCGTGGAATGACTAAACCCTAAAACTCTGTCTCAGCCTTTTCTCAACTAGCTTCCTCATGCTCAACACGGTACATCGTTCCTCATTTGACTCTAGATTCCACGGACCAGCCGCCAGCCCTGCTCAGGGACTGTCTTGGAATGATCCGGCAAACAACCACGTGGAACGTACGACCGACTCAGTTTCCCTTTTGCTAGTGCTGTTAGTGACTGCTAGCTGCTTGCAGCCCACTTACGGAAGACAAGCCCAAGAGAATTCAAGCGCTGGGGCGGTGCATTCATGTCTGCTACATCGACTACAACTGGAGGCTGGTTTCCTGCCTCGCTTGGACAATGTCGGAGATTTTGCTGATGCAAGGTGGCCTTGCCGCAAGCAGTGCGTACCAGGATGGCAGGGGCTAGTACGTGTGCAGAGTGCCTCCGCCTTCGCCGGGCAATGTAAAGAGATGAGCGATGGGTGGCTTGACCCCCTGTTCTTATGTGGGTGGAATACGATACACTGCTCCAGAAGCTCATATGCTGAAAGAGGCGAGAAATTCGGAAGTTCAGATCTCTTAAAGTACGGCACATGTACACACGCAGAAGCGAGGCGATTCTTTCGTTCATTGCTCTCTCGCTGCAGGGGCCCCTTGTGGATGTTTTTCGTGAAGCTTGCAACAAATCGGGTTTTAGTGCAGCGGTTCTTCTTGTCTGTCGTGGGCCCCTTGTCGCCCGGCATACTCGCACTGAGTGCTATCGCTGTTGCCCTCGGGGAAGCTGATGCTCCTACCAGTAGTGCCTGAGATGGTCTCATGAGCCCTAGGCTTGAGGCCTTCTATCCGGCAGAAAGCCCTCCAGCTGAGGATTGATGCCACGTGCGTGATTGGCTGCAGCATTCACAGCAAGCGTGAAGTTATCAAGCCAGGCCTCTCAGCCACAGTACTGCAAGGGCTCCCCACCATCCTGGCCTGCATGATCATACGTCTGGCTGCACCCACGGGAAAAACAGTTCATCCAAGACAGGACTCTGGGGCCCGCACCAACCCACCACTGACCCAATGGACCGTCGTAGAACCACCAAAATAGACCTGCACGGTGCTCTATGTCAGCACCAGCGGCATCAATCCGTTTTGCAGTTTGCCGTGCCTTTGTCACCTTCGTCCTGCAAATCCATGCCGCTCATTCAAAAGCTGAAGAAAAGCTGGTCTCAGACCACTCGGCCACAAGTTTACGATCCTATCCCTTCTTATCGCAACTTGTTGGGAAGCCGGCATGCCTACTGGCATCTGCCGGCTGATGACATCTCACACTGGCAACGGCAGGCTCCTTGTACTGGGTCCAGTACTCCCCCGGAGGAGGATCCGGCGTGGGAATCTGCAAAGACCGGTTTCAAGCTGGAAACCAGCAGCAACTGGGGTGTCAAGAAAGCGGCAAGAAAGTTGGCTTGGGGCGAATCGGGCTGCAGATGAATGGATGTTGTGCTTGACGGTATCTTTTTGCTTTCTGGTCCAAGATGGGAGCAGGGCAGGGAAAATGCAGATGGACAAGACTGACCCAGCTTCAACCAGGAAGGGCCAGTGTCAATGCATCATGAAAAACTGCCTTGAAAATGGCCCCTGCCTGCACTGTACCTCTGTTGGGCCTGCCAGCAACTCGCATCAACATCTTTCTAGAGTCACCTAAGCGCATGTGTTCAGCAGCGTGCCTAAGCTCTGTCTTGATTTCCGGCTTGACCTGAAACATGATCAACGAGCCAGTGGCCAGCTAAGGAGGCAGTCGATCGGCTGCACACCACACAATCGAAGCACCGTTTCCCAAAGTCACACCGCCAAATTCTGTGCAGCAAGCGCAGCACGGGTACATCTGCTCCCAAAGAAGGGTTCATCTAAGCATGTTGCATCTTCCATGTCGCCAGAAACCTCAACATTTCAAACATGGGCGGGACATCAAATCGCTCCCAGCAGTCTGTGGAACTGGCCCGGAGGTTTTGACACTTCGCTGCCAAAGCATCATCCTGGCATGAGCAGGAGTAGCGCAGTACGAAGGAAGATGAGGAAGTCATCAACGCAGGCCTCTTCATCTGCACCTAGCCTTCGGCGCAAAAATGAGGCCGAAGTGTAAGAGTCACGTGCAAGTGCCACTAATCAGAATGCAAGCAGGACCTGTCGGAATCAGATCCCAACGACAACGATCGAGAACGCCTTCAAGAATCAAGGAAAGTCGTCCTGCACCTTACAAAGACGACTGATAGCAGCCTACGATGTCGTCCAGATGATGCAGATGAAGACACCTGTCACACTCCGCACGATCACATTGCACATGGAGCTGCTGCAATTTTGCCTTGCCTCTAGCATCTCTAGTGGCTCGCGCACTGCGGCCTGGCAACGGCATATGATGCAGTTGGAGAGAGCCTGGCGTCACTGTCAAGCCCTGCCTGCCCTGTTGGGGCGCTGGGTTCGAAAGGCGATCGTTGCGAATCTCTGCGTCGTCGATCTGCCTGGAGTTACGTCCGTTACGTCAAGCAGCTTTTGGGGCTCGGAGGTACTCGATCCGTCCTTGTCGACTTTCCGGAGCTGGCACCCATTGATCTCGAAGCGTCCATCGACATCGGTTTCCTGCGCTAGCTGCCGGCATGCACCCATTGCAGGCCCATTCCACATGCAGCTGGGTCTGCATCTTTGACTTATGGTATTGTTTTTAGTTTCATACCCCATGCTGACACGCCCTTGGCACATTTGCACATCCTGCTGCAGCGTGACATGTTGCAACGCCTGATGCCATGGACAGGCTGGACAGCTAACGCTAGCAGACCAACTGCGCTCCTGGATATACATCTTCAACTTCTCCGCGTCAAAATCCCCGAGATCCTTCCTGCAATCAAAGCTACGTCCGAATAGTTCATTCAATCGGGTGCTGCTACATAGCAAGCAGCACCCTGCGCGCACCTGTTCCTTGTAACTGCTGCCGCGATACCGGCGAGCTCAAGCCAACCTGGCAGAGCTAGCACAGGAGAGAAAGCAGATCCACACTCCCGAACATACTTCCTTTTTCTGTCCTCCAAAAACCCATGCAGAACCATGTCCAAACACATTCAAATAATGGCAAGTCCAAGCATACACACGTCTAGCAGATCATACATAAATGCCATGCGCGCCTGTATGCGCAACAACGACATGCAAAAAAGGCCGCCTCCTGCTTGCTGCTGAAGGCCAAGCTCCTGATGACTTTCTTGGAACTTCGAGAACTTGATAACAACAGCGATGGACGGAAGTGTTCACTTCTGCGTTTAAAGCTCAGGTGAGCCTTGAAGCCAGCTTTTGCAATCCAGGAAATGTAGCGGTGCATCCTCTCTGCCGCACCTCGCCGTGCACGCTGTACACCAGGCAGACAGATGGTTCCCTCAAGGCCAGAAAACACGACCAAGTTCATCTAAGTGCTGGACTCCAACCTCCGCGGTTGCGACCACGCGTCTGCAACCGACGAAGCAAACACGAACTTAATGGATGCAGTAGCACTTGCTGCCTGGGTTCTTGTTGCCCTCTATAGGACTTGTCTCTGGACGACCATCCCAATCCACACGGTCCCTTCCCAGCATTGCACCGAATACTCTTATTCGTCTTCGATGCTCGTTGAGAATGCTGGGGCTACTCTTGTTTTTTGCTTCGGGGCTTGCTTGGGTACTGCTGTTCTTATGGCGCATGTCACGATTGCCTGTGCTTGTGTGCTGGGGTGCCATAACCCTGAACTTCCTGAACAGCTGCTCATGAATGATGACTGGGATCATTGTGTGTGTGTGCTCTTGCTGACTGCTATGACCATTCTCAAACTATGGCCGCTATGACAGCAGTATACAGCAATGAATCTTGCAGTGATTGTCACTGGTGTGCTGCAATCAACGAAAGCTAGCGAAACTCATCGTAGCAATGTCATTCTGATCGCCATCGCTGTTGACGATGATGTTCACTTGACGGCTGTTGTGATGGTTCCTCTATGACAACAAGTCAGAACAAGTGCACCGGACTTGTTGAAAGTTGTGGTGCAGTAGAAACTTCCAGCAGTCATGATCAATCCTTGATCCTTGTTTGTTGTGCAAATCCGTGCTGCTAAGTCGTGCTTTCTCATTGCCTCTTTCCTCTCCCCTCCAGAGAATGGCTCGCCCCACCTCCCCCAAGCCCTTCACTCTTCTTCCTAAGAAGCCCAACTCTCGCGTAAAGCATCGCACAACACGACTTGCGGCCATGAACAACTGCCATGTGCACGAGGGAAATCCTGCACCTCTGGACGGTCACCGCCTGCATTCACGCAAGGACATGTGCAGCTTTGGGGCAAAGCTGCTCTCTCCAAGCAAGAGCTGCAGCGAGTAAGCGCCTTTTCCATTGCGGCCCTCACCATGTCTGTCTCTGTCTTGAGGAGGTCTTCGTAAATGCCTTGACGCTCTTGGGCGATGGACTGAGAAGACTGAGGACGATCTGACACAGGTCAGGACATCGTCTCCGGTGTCAGGCCCATCTGCCGAAAAGAGTGCCTGACCTCGGCACTACTCGGCACGTGAAGTGGGACCTTAGGACCTTGCCTGCTCGGAAGCCTGATTGCATAGGTTGCCGGCCCTTTGCTGCCTGGCCTCGTTCGTGTCATCCGCCTTCCACCAGCACAGCCATCACAGCCCTTCTCAGCACAACATCGTCACTTGGCAGCTCACGGCCTCCAAGTCTATGACCTCGTTCGTGCTGATCAAGTCGTCCTGCCGGATTCTTACCATGGACCTATCGCTGAGCGGTACCCGGTACCGAATGCCACACAAGCAAGAGACAACTTCGTGTGTCCAGCGACATTGACAACCTCAGGGAGCAAATGAGCACAAGCATCAGGTCAGCGCAGCATGGCCAGGGTTCAAGCTTGTCAGCCAATGCAGGCCTCGCACAAAGAGCCCAGCAGCTCGAATTGCGAGCCTTTTTCCGTCCGTGTCTAAGGCTCCTGCGTTTTGGTTCCGTTGATAGGGCGAGGCCTGAGAAGCAAAGATCAGCAAAGCTTTCCGAGCGAGAACTTGGTGTTACCCATTGTCGCCCGCTGCACTCCAACCTAGTCGGCACAGGCGCTTTCGTCACGCTTCCTATCCTGACGAGGTGGGCCATGAATCAGCACTGCAAGTTTGTCCTCTTTCGCGCATCCGAGGACTCGTCTTTTTCGGTATTCGCTTCTCTGGCGGTCTCATGCCCACCCTGGGTGGTGGCTGGGTTCTGCAAGTAGCACTGCTAGATTCGAAGCACAGAATGAGGACGTCACGCGGGGAAAAGAACACCGTTCTGAGGGGAAGCATGGCGCCGACGTCGATCCACTCGGTCTGTGCGAGAGGTCACGGTGTCTGAAGTGCTATGGCCCCCCTCCGAGGCAAAATGCACGAGCGTGATTTTGCAAGGTCGCAGGCGTGGCCTTCGTCTTCTTTGGGCATCACCTCTTCACATGGGAGACAGCATCAAAATGCACAAGCAGCTACAACATAATGCCGCCCTGCGAACGCAAGCCCGAGATCCAGGTCCCTGGCGCGTATCACAATGCCTCCATCATGGTCACCTGCCCGGCCAGGACTTAACCAAGTCTCAAACAGCTGGATGGCTGGCCGTCGATGGCAAAGCGTAGCGACCCACCATGCTCATGCTCGCGGAACCTGGCTCCAACTCTGGAAGTAATATGCAGTGAAGCATGGAACTCTGAGTACCCTGCATGTGTCTCCTAACCTCAACAGCGACTGGCAGACGTTGACATGTTTTCGCACGAGGGCTGTGCACTTTATGCGCCTTCATGGGGGTCATACCAGTCATACCAACTTACGCTCTCGCAACTCGGGCAACAGTTCAGTGCTTGAATTTGCTGGCCTACGGCATTCTATTGAGCTGAAACTGCTTGCAGCTGTGCTTCGGCATGTAAGATGTCCGTTTCTCGGAGACCATGCCTGCAGTCACTTGCTGTTTCCATCATCGCAGCAACACCCCAGCGGCTCAGCGACAGCAAAGGAAGTCTTTCACAGCTTGAAAAGCGCCTGTCCCCCCAGGAATTCATGATGTCCTCGGCTGGACGGTATGGTGGCCACGCATCTCATTTGAGAAATCCAAGCGAGCACAATCTTCTAAGACAGGCACATCTAGCTTCATGCAGCCATCACGGTCCACTCGAAGGCCATCTGGGCGCTTGGAGGCGTATCGGCCTCGCTTTACATAGGGCAGTCGCGCCCCCGACACTCGAAACATTGCCGCAGACTGACCGGGAACTCAGCGCTGTACCGAAGCCTGCAATGGTGCGAGATATCTTCAGCGAGTCCGCCGGCAGAGGCGATCCTCCGAAGCGCATGGCATGCAGCAGCTTTAACACTGAAGCAGATTCTGGGCAACACACTGGACCGTGCGCGAGACATCCTGCAGGCAAAGGCTCGTCTATGTAAGCCGTACTGACCTCTGATGCTCTGCGCCTGGATGCCGCGAAACTGGCTCCGATACGATGCGCCCAGTAGCCCCAAGGTCTCAAGCACACGAAGTGAGAAGCTGATGAGCAGCAGCGCAAAGACGAATTGGTTCAGCATCCACTCCACGCACGCACACATGGCCACGGCGAAGACACCAAGATGTTTGGTCAGGCTATGACAGGAACGCGCACTCTGCGCAGGAGATCGAATTACGCAGGTTTTGGCACTGCCTTGTTTATGCATGCGATATCATGCGGTCAAAATCTGGGCACCATCATTTCAAAAAACACCTCGGTATCTTACGGCTGGAGGCACAACTTTCAAGTCAGCATGCCAATAACAAGGCACTACATCGCTGCGTGGCGCATGAAGCTGCATCTTCAATGCCTGGACATTGGCGCAGGTGCATGCTGAAAAGAAATCGTCGCCACAGGCTTAAGCTCGAGGAGAGGGTACCACACTAGCCTGAATCTCCACCATGTTACGGTGCCAATGCAATTGGAGGAAGGCCGCAATCAAGACAACAAGATACTCAACCTTGCATTGACACACTTGCAAAGCCAAAACAGTAGGACAAGTAACCGGTCAGGATTCTGAAAAACCAAACATTCGAATACAGGAAGTACGCTCCGCTGCCAATAGTGCACTTACATCTAAGCTCTGGGCTTTTTGAAACCTGCTAGAGTTCCGAGACCTCTTCTGCAAATAAGCCCGCTGGGGAATCTCAGATGCTCAGGCGTCCTTTTTGATGCCTAAGCCAACTTGTCGCACGGACCATATTAAGCCGAGTGCTTTGGAGGGAGCGATTTGCGAGGCCAGCCGGATCGGCTGGCAAGTCTTTGCAGGCACTTTTGTATTATGCAATACGGTATGATCTGATACAGCAATGTAACAAAATCTGACAAGGTATAGCAGAAGTGACATATAAGATTCCTTAGTGAAATATATCAGATATAGCAATTACAGTTACATTTTTTATCACTCGTGCTCGACAAGTCAGACGAGGGTTAGGGAGCTAGCAGAAATTACAGTTACATATATAGAAAAGTCTATACTATCATATATACCATTACACGCAGCACAACAGAGACCTAAGATATAACATGCAATATACCATACACCGTATATACCATATACTTTCTGATGTGTGAACTGATGTATTATACAACATGTAGAATACATAATAAACCAACCATAATGAGACTACAAATGCTAATAAAAGTAACAATCATGGAAAGAATAAGGGTAAGACTAAGAATACCAATGCTAACATAACATACAATATACAATATACATTATACCATATTTACTATATGGTGCAAAAAATATGATATGTAACATGTAGTACTGTATAGTATCTGATATACGGTATATATAATACAGGATATACAGTACAATGTATGCTGCAATGTGCAATGCAAAGCATCGGTAAACTAGGCAGCTACAATAACAAACTAAAGCTGGATATAAACTTGACTCAACATAACATAATGCATTACGACGTGCGATGTCAGGCATGGCATACTCATGCTATCGAAGCCGTGCAATGCCATGCTTTGCTAGGACATGACATGATATGCGACAACAGATGAGATCCAATATTCTGATAGTTAGTCTCGGACATGATGTAGGTAATATGGACCGGATGCTGGCAACCAGTGTTCGCGAAACTGGCAAATATTGCCTGTGACATCAACAAACGTTGGAACCACGCCTGGAAAAGAGCACGAGGAGATGCATGCCCCCTGTGGGCAGCTCAGTCTCCTGCTTTTTTCCACACCGATTTGGGTGAAACCGAATCTGCGCTAAGGACGATGGGACCATCAGACTGCAGGTCACCGGTGTCGAAAGCGCCGGTCGCTCTTAAGCATGCTGCATGGCACAACAACAAAACATTCGGTAAGTTAAACCACTCCCTCACGAAAGGGAGCTGATGCCTCGGATAAGTCCATCAGTGCCCCGCGCAGCAGGCCAGCCAACTGGAGGCAACACCTCATCAAATCTCCGTACCGGGAGTGTCTGGCTGCCTAGCTCAATTCACCTATATCTGCTGGCCTGAGTCTGCTCGCCTCTTCACAGGGGACAATCCGCCCATGCGCGGGCCTCACTTACCCCACATTCGACGGCATTCCGCAGCTGCACCCGGATTTCCAGTTTTGTGGCCGTGGCTGAACCGACTTGGATCTAGCGCTTGCGTAGCCTCTGACGAAAGGGGTAGGCTCCAAGAGTGCAGCTAAAGCGAGAACCACCACTGGCCAAGGGATGCACTGCACCCAGGAGCTCCATGACACGCTCACCGCGAGGCCTTGCAAAACAAATGAAACTGGCTTGCTCGAGGAGCTGCAGACTCAAGAACGAAGCTTTGATAGCACGTTCTCGTTCCAGAGTTTACTCCCGCTTAACCGTCGCACGCAGCCGGCCACTCATGCCAATCTGGCCTATTGTTGGAGCTCCAGAACGCAACATTGAGATAGTACTGCTTCCTGGGTAAGAGTCACCGCTCTAACAAGCCACCTTTCATGCGTAAATTCCGACAGCTCGGCCGGCCTGGAATTGAGATGTCCTGGGAGGTTTACATTTTCTTGGCAAACCCAGCTGAAATCATGTGATGCAGCTCCATGGTGCAGACTTGCGTCTTTTATCATCCGGATCTTGTGATCTGTTGAGGGTGTAAATGACAACCTGGCACCGAAAAGTCTCAAACGGCCCACAGTCCCTGCCCCTGGAGTTTGAACTCGGTCCACTGCATGCACCGGTGGTGAGCCCGCAAACCTCGGCACAGGGTCCGAACGCCAACGAAGACATGGGACTACTGCTGATAGGAGCCCTGCTGATCCATGTGAAGTCGACCCAGCAGTGGCAGCTTGAGCTGCGGTGCACACGAGCATTCGAGACGTTCCGATACGCACCCAATGTCTTTTAGAGTTGCAGTCTCAACTCGCTGATTTGACTGCGAGCAATGGCCTGCCAGTTCAGCTTGTCCAGCCACTGGGAGATGCCCCAGAAGCAGAGTGTATAAGTCGGGCCAACCTGTCTGTGTTAAAACCCCGCATACACCGATCATCTAACGGGAGAGCATCCACGACATGTACTGATTTGCACCCCGTGCGCAGTCGGCACACTGACACCGCACGGCCTCGAACACTATATTGTCCAGCTCTTTCCGAAACTCCGAGACCTTCTCGATTTGTTTCACAATACAAACGCACTAAAGCATGTCCATGCTCTGAATGGTCAGTCGCGTCCTGAATAGAAAACAACATGAAAATGAAAGATTTGGGCTCACGGCTCTGCCGGAGCGTTTCGAACCTGCAAGCATCAAGCAACTCTCGCGCTAGCTTCAAGGAGCCACTTCTCGTGCTTCAAGAGTGAGGCAGCGAACCTAACTCTGGGATGCATTCGTCATCCAGTTCTGGCGGAACTTCCTCGGATCAGACAGGAGTGCGGAAACAGTCTGGAAATGAGTCGAGGCCCCTGCGCCCTCAGCCGTGACGATGTACTGATCGAATGCCCACATGGGCATCACAAACGTAGGCCTGGCACCAGCGTTTTGCATCTTGTTCACTGTGTAAACTCCCGCTCTCTCCCTGGGATAAGGTCGGAACATCTCGAGTTCTGCCGAATCGGCACATTCCTCCGCAGGCTGACCCTAGCTCGACTCCCGCGTCAAACCCAAGCCGAGGGCGAGCTGTCCTCTGGGTTGTCACCCACGCTGTGGTATATCTGATTTCCCACCACCTGTGAAAATGCGCATCCTTGACAACTGCTTGAGTAGTCTGTTCAATTGACAGCCACTGTAGAGCTCCAAATCTAGGGCTTTGACACCCTTCAACATGCGAACTACTCCATCCATTGTCCGCTTGACGGATCTGGACATTGGCACCTGTGCATGCGTGGTGAACCATGAAAGTCATGAGCTCAAGCACGCGCTCATGGTCGCAGGGTAGTTGTACTGAAGTGTCAGATGCCGACATACTTCTCCAGCTCGATGCCGAAAAACCTGCCGCATCGCAAGTTACGTGAACGTGGCAACTCTCCTGGTGCAAATGTCGTCGCCGCCCAGGCACATTTCAGACTGTATCGGAGGCTTTTTGAACTTCAACCTGACGAAATGGTAAGTTCGAGTGCATCAAAACGGCCACGTGCAGGTTACCAAGCCGCGGACTGCACACGAGTTTCCCACAAACGCTTCTTGCCAACGAAATAGCTCCTCGCAGTCAGGGCACTGCTATCCACTATCCACACCCTTCTTCTTTGTGAGTCCACAATGCACAGCCACTGAGTTGGAACAAACATGGTCCCGTAAGGGTAGTCAGCCGATTTGTCGAGCTCCTGCCATGCGTGGCAGAGTCAAAAGTCTGGGATAAATCATGCAGCAGTGCATCGGGTTTGCACACGTTCAACACCTTGTCATGCGTTGCTCGATGCATCTCAAGCCTCGAGCGGGTGATCGTGCCAGTTGTACGACAGGTCGACATGTGCAATGAAGTCGCTGTGTCCGAATTCCCATGCGATATCCATCTGCATTCAAGAAGCATCTTGCCGTAGCACACATCATTTTCGAATTCGGAGATCTGCCCGTTCACCATGAAGCCTCGAATCCAGACAGACGGAGGTGGCAGGGAGACGCAGCGAGGGAGGGAGAAAGGGTTGACACATCGCAAGGCCTCCACATGGCACGAAGCAGGCTTCCAAATGCCGCTCCTGTGGCACACCGAGCCTCGCAATAACAATCTTCACCTGCCTTAACCTGAGATCGAGCTGCAGCCTGTCAAGAAAACTGGTGACAGCGCTGTCATGGTAGTCCACCACCTAAATGCCAGGGTGGACACAACTGCACCATGCCGAGATTGAACAGCGCCTCTTTTTCATTCTTGCCCCGTTTCACTGCTGGCTTGGCGCTGCTAGCCTCCCAAAGCTTGTGCTGAGGCAAAAGAGGGAGGTTTGGGCACACGGCGCGATCCTAAGCACAACCTGAGCAGCCGGCCGAGCTGCCACGAAACAGGAACAAACTTGGCCAACGTGCGAAAATCAAAGACACTGCACGGCTGACTCCATGCTCGCATCACATGAGCTGTGGTTCAATCAAAAATCCTTCCGTGCAACCCTTCCGCAATCCGTGCCTCGAGTCTTTAGCACGTTTCTAAGTCACTGCACATGTCTTTCCTTCCGCATGCCCTTGCGCAAACGGCTTTTCAAGCATGCAGCAGCATACGTATTTGTTGCTTCCGTGCCCCTTCCGCGGACGCAGAGAAGTTTCCAGATCGAAGGAAATTTTGTGTCCGGCTACGGTCTGCTTTTTCTGGCTACGGCTCTGTGTCTCCTGGCACCTTCGGAAGCAAAGGTTAACTCTCGGCAAGAGTCGCTCTCGCTTTGGGTGATGCTGAGAGTTTCTCGATCAGTTGAAGGCCGTCGCGAAATCGTTTTGTGGCTTGAAGTTATCGCCTCGAATTTGTCACCGCAGGCTACGGTGCATCCGTTTTCTGTCAAGCTGAGTTTTCCTCCCCGCAGGCTGGATTAGGACGTAAACCCCGGTCTGCCCATCTATGACGAGAAACAAGCTGCGTGGCCAAACTGAGCTGCTGGCAGGAGCAGAGTCAAAGCAACAAAGACCTTATGTTAGAGCACGGTGGAATCATGCCTGCGGTTCCTTGTGATCAGATCCTGACAGCTGCTGGGGCTGCTCTTGCTTCCTGCGCAAGCTCTTCTGCAGCCTCACAGGTAAGCGTCTTTGCTTCGAAAGGTCTTTGCAATGCGTGTCTTGGAACCCGACAGATTTGAGCAGAGCACTCTCCTCGGAAACAACTTGCAGTCAGACTGCGCCCAACTTGACGTGCAGTCGGTTTACCAATACTGATCTTGCGAGGGCAAAAGGTGAAGTTTTCGAATGCCTCTGAAGACTCGAACTTCGCGGACGCTTCTGAAGACTCGAGCTTCACAGCTTTGCGCTTCAAAAACCAGCCCTAGCCTGTAATCTTGCCTTCACTAGCCTGCAGCTCGGCAAAGCAATGTGGTCACCAGCTGTCCGAGCTTGAGAAATGCTTTGGTCGTGTCTGCTGCAAACCCGCACAGGTAAGCTGCCGGCAGCTAGCTGCTGCCTCATGCAACTCGCATCCACGTGCTTACAACGCATATATACATCGTACGAAGGTACCCACATGCCGAATCTCAGGCAGGGTCACAACAGGCAGCTGCAAGACTCGGGACCCGTATGTGCGAAGCAGGGCCTCGGCCCAATGAAATGAGCGCATGTGCCTACACGGCCTACACGCCACAGGCTTGAAGAGGAACCGACATCCACAGCCCGAGGCCCCTGCGGTCGTACCATTCATCTCCGCTGGCTAGACCGACAGAGTGTTATTTGCACGGCTGCGGTGGGCGGCGGGAGGACTTGACTTTGCTCTCTCTGTGGGCCAGGCGCATCGCATCACACTCGCGGACTCAGAGTCTCCTTCTTCGAATTCCACGTGGCAGCACTAAGCCTGTGAAACCTCCTAGATCGAGGCCACGTTGGGCCTTGAGAACGCTTGGCCCCGCCCTGGGCGTCAAGCCAAGACGAGCCTCCTACGGTTCCTACACTCCTAGACCCTAGAGCTCTCTAGAGCAGGCCGAACTACATTAAAGCGCAGGTGTTTCTTAAACTGCAAGCACCTGCAAAGCAGCAATCCTCTGCCTCAGCAAGCAATCTCCAGACAACTCAAATCTGATGCTGTGCAACTGCAATGTTTCCAACTTGGAGGTCCAGGCAGGTGGACCCCCTGCTTGAGCATCAGCGACAGCAGCCTGGTGCCGAGGCCGAGCTAAGAACATCTCCGTGCTTTTGAAGCTGTCCCATGCCTTGACGGGTTGATGCCCATTGACGTGCCTGAAAGAATGCCTCGTGAGGCGCATTGCGGGGCTCCGACCGATCGTGCTAATCGAAGGTCAGCATAGACCCACGCACCATGCAGCTGGGTCTAGCACCACTTCTTTGCCTCGTCTTGCACAGCGTGAATAAAATCGGATAAAGCCTGCCAGGCAGCCAGGGCAACAACTGAGCCGGATCTGAACCCTTCGCTTGCAGACGTCTCGCTAGAGCTCCCACGTGTGCTCAGGCTCGGTGCCCACAAAACATCTGCCTTGCGGTGGCCATCGACCGCCATACTCCTTGGCCAAGAATGTGGTGTGACGGGTTGCATCAGATGACAGGGGTGTAGCAAGAGAATGCTTAGTACATGGCATTTTGAAGTTTGGTCAGACTAGAGGCCCTTTGCCGCCACTGGTCAAGCAACAGACTGACGTGGTTGCCAAGGCCAACGCGAGAACCGTCCTTTGGGAGTCAAAGCCAATGCCCGAAGCCTTGCCAGACTGAACTTGGACTTGGCCAATGGCTGAAGTGAGCCCTTGGCTTTCGCCAAGGGGCAGGGGACATGCCCAAAGACCCAAAGACAACTGAATCGCAAGTGCCGACCTTCCGTTCATCAAAGCTGGACTGAGCCACTTGCACAGTTGGCCCTGAGCACATCGGCCTGGCAGCAATCCATGCATTGAAGTTGCAGCATGTTGCAGTCTTTGTTGGGCTCCTTCTCACCCATAAGATTGTCTCAGGTCACCACTGGTAAAACAGCATCAAGTTCTCACTGCGAAAGTTCCCCATGCTGCCAGCATCGACATTCCCAACCTGAGGCAAAGCATCGCGCCCCACTTGTCCACTGCTTGGGGCCACTGGACATGCCGGAAGCACCAGCTGCACCGCCAACACTTCACTGACATCCACCGCGGAAAACTTGCCCTGAGTCAGAAGAAATCGTGTGATGAATAGCAAGTGCAATAGTAGCAACCTTAGGGTCCCCTACAGAGGCGTTAGGACAAACTCTTCGAGGCCCGTGCAGAAAATGCTGCAGGTTCGTAGCAAAGTGCAAATCGCATGACCTGCTAACCAGAACCAACGTATGCATGCATGTGTAGATTCTAGTGTAGATGTATGTCTGTATGTATGTACGTACGCATGTATGTGTGCGCGTATGTGCACGTGTATGTATGCATAGGCATAAACTGGTGTAATCAGTTGATGTAGCCATCCTGCCTTGGCCATGCTTCAAGCGCACGCACCCATCTACAACGATGCATAAACAAAACTGGGTCCTTTAATTCTTGCACTCCGCCATGCTGATGCAATCTATGCTGCTTCGATTCGGCCCTGGCTTCACCCCACCTCTTGGTAGGGCCGCCATCCCAGCACTGGGACCTGGCATTCACCAAATCAAGTTGCAGCACTTCTTGGGCCAAGCTCGAGCGCCCCACCCGGACAGAGCACTTGAGCTCAGCAAATGCCTCCCACGGCCTGTTCTCACCTCACAGTGCCAAAGCTTCACAGCGATGGTCAGCCATCTGCCAAAGCTCCGAGCTGATGCCAGGACCAGACCTCAAGCACTCAGACTTGCAGGCGGCATTGTGGAGACTTGAGACAGAAAGTCAGGTGCCAGCCAAAACACGTCGCGGCCTGGATGCGCCGTTCAGTTACTCCGCTCGAATTGAGACATGTGAGGTCCGTGCCATTTCTGCGCGCCTGCATCAAACCCAAGAGCTGCTCAGTTCTGCTGCCAGTATTAAGAGTAGTGAGTAGTCGAGAGCAGTCAAGAGCAAACGAGGTCCTAGTGTGTCTCCCTGCCTGGTAGCTCTGCACGAAAGAATTGCCACGACCCCACAGGCATTGAAACACCTCAAAGCATTAGTAAGCGCATTGCCGGTTCGGCAGCTGGCAGGCTCTGTGGCTGTCTCCCTCATCCCGTTTTGCCAAGATCCCGGCATCCCCAGGTGCCAGGCCACTCCCTTCAGGCAGCAGCCTCTCCGACGCTCTACTACCCTCTGCTTCGTGCCAGAAAAAAACGCAACTGCCACTTCTCTGCTCTGGGGGAGCAGCTCATGCGCATCGCAGAGGACCATCTGGCGGGAAATATTGCTTGAGACTTGTAACCCTGCCTGGACTAGAGTCGATGAGGGTGAAATTTGAAATGGCCTCGTCGTGCAGCATCTGTTCCACCGGGGTGAAGCTTGACGAAGCATCCAAGTCGGGAGACGAGGAAACATCGGCAACAGATCCTGAGCTGCATGCATACGGCGCTTGAGCTTCTTGTTGCGCAGCACGGTCTGAGCATAGAGCTGCCTGAGGCCGGCCCTTCTCTGAAGGCGCTGCTGACATCACCGTCGTATGGCTCCAAGTCGGGAAGCGCCAAGGCTTCCTGCGACACGACAGCCTGCAACCCTGAGCCGTAAGACTTCATGCCCGAGAGTCCTCTAACTGGCCGCCACAAGGCCTAGCATGCGACCACAGGACGAAAATGCAGAGCTGGCGGCACCCCCAGTATCCGTCAATCTTATGATAAAACTGCAGCTGCTGACCCTTGTCTCGCGAATTGCACAGATTCTGCTGATTTGTCGTCTCAAGCTTGAGGTACTGCCAGCATCAATTTGATTGAAGCTGCAGCTCAGCTGCGGTGAAACGTCCTCGGCATTTCTACAAACTTCGTCTTGCACAGAGCGCCCGCGCTTGCCGATGAGTTGACCCAGATTCTTCAGCGGAAGCTGGTGATTTTCAAAGATTTGTGCACGTCCTGGCTGTTCCACAGATCCTCCGATTTCCATTTCATGGAGCGCCTTGGTGAACGCTGTCTTGACTGCTCTCACAGAATGCCCAATGCAATGCTGCTGAGGCACATAGACTCTCTCAGTTGAGCATCTGGTCGGTCTTGCACGTCCTTGAAGCGATGCTTGCTGCCCTCGAAGAAAGGGCATTGGTGGCCCTTGTCCTGCAAGCATCAAGCAACACTCTTCGATAGCTATGCGATGTGGTCATCGACTTGCGCTGTAAACCAGGTACCGCAATCGCCCCTTCCTTCTCGGGATCTACGCCCTGTGCAAGGGCTGCTGGGGTCGAGAGCTTCAACGAACCTCTTGTCAGCGAAGGATGCGGATACCATCGCGAGTTCCTGAAAGCGGAACAGCATAAATCGTAACCCATGCTTTGTAACAAAGGTAATGGTATGATCACACTATGCAACTAACGCAACTCATCCCAGAACGTTTTTGTCCAACCTAACCCGAATTCTCTCACCTCACCTAGGACCTACCCGGGCATAACCGACGTACCCTAACCCGACCCAACCTAACCAAGCCTATTAACCTGACCTAACCCGACCCAACCCAACCCACGCCAACTCAACCTAAGCCAAGGCCTACCCTAACCTGGCCCACTCGAACCTGACCCAACCTGTGCTCCGCATATAACCTAACCCCCCAACCTGACTCGATACCCTAGCCCATAGTAACCCAGCCTAGCCTAACCCAACCCTACCCAGCCTGACCTAAGCTAAATGCAGCTCGGCTGAACCTAAGCCAACCTTACGCATCCCAACCCAACCCTGACCTACTAGTAACCAGAAGCGAAAACACAGCAACCTAACCCCTACCTCACCTGAACTGAAGCAAGCCTGCCCTACCCTGAGGAAACCGAAACCTAGGTGAACCGTACCCAACGCTAAACTAACCGAGCTTTCCCAGCCCGAAGGTTCTAGAGAGGTTTCACAAGAGTGAGCACTAACAAGAATAACCATGTCGGTCCGTGAGGCTACACAAGTAACCCCTAACCTGCAAAAACAAAGGATTAGTTTCAGGAGACGAAGAACTGGAAATCGGCCACAGCCCAATCCAGCACCCCTGCGGAGTTCACTGGAAGAGCTGTTGGGTTCACCGAAAGAACCATGGGCCTCACACCCTATTACGCGTACTGGCTGGCATCATTGTATCCGACGAGACACATCATCCGCGACTGCATGGACCTAAGCTGACTCCAAAAAACGAAGGGACCACCTCCTTCATGTTTTTGGAATCCTGCGATGAGCTTCAACCGGGCGGCGCGGACAGCTCCTGAGGCTGCTCTTCCTGCAAAGACCAGAGGAGAAGCATCGCCAATAACATCTCTCCACCAATACTGATCGCAAGCTCTCGCTGGCTGCAAACCACACTGCATTCGAAGACAGCGAAGCTCATCCCTCTGCAACGAAAGAACCCGCAAGCAAGGTTGCAAATGCAACCTGTCGCCAGCATCCTTCGAAAACTCAAGCTAGGCTGCAATGGACATCAGACAGCTTCTTGTCGATGGCACATATGGCACGCATCTGCGATAACAGTTTCAAGCACGTTCAACGAGAGACTGTTTTGGGCCCCTACCGCAGTCCACTTTCAACCGGCGTAGTGGACAGAAGAAGGTTTGCTCTGGTGGCTTATCCCTCCTCCAAGCCTCCAGCCACCTCCTTTTCTCGACGCCATCTCATCCTTTGAATCCCGTTGTCTCGGCACCATCTACTACCTCACACCATCACCCTGTCGCAGACAAACCCGTTGTCTGCAGTTGTTTCGTAAGCTTCTGAAACGAGACCTCTTGAGGACTGCATGTACCAGAATGCTAATGGTCATGCCTCAGCCCAGCAAACTTCTGTACGGCCCTCGGATGCTTAAGCTTGGGCTCCTCTTCGAAAGCCGGTTCCGAGAGCATCTCCTCGACGGGCTCGGGCTCTTGCACCGGTTCTGGCATTGCCTCCACGGGTCCATACATCCACCACATTTTAAAACAGAGATTTGCATGACAGCCAATGATCTACTTGTCTACGTCTTGGTCTCTCGTGCTTGAGTCCACTTCTGCAAGTCCTGCATATGCTTCCTCAGACTCGGCCCGTTCCAAGGCTCGTGGTTCGGAAGACCAGAATCACAGTCCCGATCATTCGTTATGGTTCGAGCACCGAGGAGTCGCTGTGATGGCATCTTGCTGCCGCCGAAGCGTGCGATCCCGTTGCCGCCCATCACCGGGCTGAAGGTACGCAAGCATGATGCCGTAACACACCAGCCGGTGTTGATGACTGGACGGTCAGAGTTCAGAGATATCCCAGGCCCTGAACTCCATGAATAGTTAAATACGGTTAAACAAAACCTTGGATCGGAGCACGGATGCACCTGCAAATCAATCCGTTCGCAGCGTCACCGCGAAAATGTGTCTCGGCATGATTTGAATCTGTCCGGACCCCTTCAGATTTAAAGGATTCCACCAACTTACAAACATCCTCCCCGAATATTCCGTGATCACGCCCCACCCAGGCTTCACATCCACCAACCCTAAAACAAGGAGCTGATCCTTAAAAGTTTCCATCGCTGCCACCACGGCTAGCAAGCCAACCATGCAGACCTATCTTCCGAGGAAAGTAGAATGGCACAGGAGGATGAGGAGAAAAATCGACAGAGCATCACGGCCGCCATCATCTCGATGTTGATGATCGAATTTTTGCAGAGCGACCATGCTTCCGCGAATATTGTTGGGTTCTCTGGGATCTTACCCCGTACATAGCCTGGAAGCTCGGAGCATGACCTTGCCACACAACTCCTTTCGTACGAGCAAGCAATTCCTGCTTCCTGGGGCTTCTTGATCTTCATTTGACAGATCGCTGGTCACACCCAAGATGGTGGGACCGGAGCACTGAAAAGCTTCTTTTCATCGTACCGAGGGCCAGCCAAAAGTGCACCTTTTCGGATCATGGAAAGGCCGACGTTGCAGACTTATCGTAACAGAGTTTGGCAGCGCCCGCAACTGAGCAAGAGTTTCAGAAAATCCACGATGACGGCCGGGCGACGGCTGCAGTTGTAGTTGTATACGGGGCCCCAACCTGCCCGAACGAATGCTCGACCAACACGAACTCGCGAGGACGGAAAATCGCAAAGCCAATCCTGGAGAGCATGCAAAATATCTAAAGGGGGCACCTCTACGACTCTAGGATTCGCTCGATGCGTTTGGAGGATTGCTCTTTTCTGCCCGTGCCCCTGACAGTCTGAATCATTACTTGGCTGTACTAACACCTCTGCAACGTGCCGCGTTTTGACAGTCATTTCTTTGGCTGAAATGACAAGCCGTGTTGTGACAGTCATTAAAAACCAACCGGACGTCAACCTCACCTGCGAAAACGAAGTCGCAACTCAAACAATCTGGCCTTGGGTTCTGGTTCAGCTGCACGTGTTAGACTTGGGACAGACGAAGACCGGCAAGCCGGTTTCTTCGTGACAAAGGTGGCTAGCTTCCTTGGTGAGCGAGCCCTCAGACGAGGATAAGTGAAGTCAGCGAACAGTGCAACTGGGGCTGCAGCACTCCACCTTCAGCATGCCTGAAATTCGCAAGCAGCTGGGGTTATCATCCGCACAACTAAGCGACAAGCAGCCTTGCCATACCCAGTTGCTGGGGCAAGACACTTGTCCACTGTTTCGCTAAGCTGCTGCCAGTAATTCGTAAGCAGCCTCTCTTTCTGAAACCTCTGGCTTGCTGCGTATGCCATCGCCGCTGACTGACCTTGCTGGCGAAAGCCATGTCTTGCGCTCGGACGTGCGAGTGCTCTCGTCTGAATGCAGCCTTGCAGCATACTTGAGGGTCCACCAAACCCGCAATCTGTCGTTGCTCCGCATGCTCTAGCCTGTGCAGCACGGCAATGCCAGATAGATGATCTGATCAGAAAACGGCGGTGCTGTGCACGGCCTCTGTGTTCCATCTCTCTCCAGCCGTCTTCCTTTGGGGAAGACGTGCGCCGCAAAGGCGGTCTTTCGGAAGTTGCCTGCCCACACCCCGCAAAAAACATCTTGTATCGTCTGGTGAAACCTCCACTGCCTCGCCTCCAAAGCTGCTGCCTTAACGGCTGCAGAGGGCTTGCTGACAAACCCAGCATATCATAGTTAATAGTCTTGAACTACAGCACTGCGGCAGACTCTGGGCCAACGGCCACCAGTAGGCTTTTGCTCTGTGAACTCTGAAGCGATGACCATTTCCTGCTGCATGATGGCGGCACAGTACATGGCAAGAGCAACAAGGCAAATGACGCAAATGATAAGATGGGGACATGACTGTTAACTGCGCTGGCGACTTGTTACTGAAAGTGCCTCTTCGTTGTAGTAGTCGTAGTAGCAGTAGTAGCAGTAGTAGCAGTAGTAGCAGTAGTAGCAGTAGTAGTAGTAGTAGTAGTAGAAGTTAGTAGTAGTAGTAGTAGTAGTAGTAGTAGTAGTAGTAGTAGTAGTAGTAGTAGTAGTAGTAGTAGTAGTAGTAGTAGGAGGAGGAGGAGGAGGAGGAGTCGGAGTAGGAGTAGGAGTAGGCTGTTTTGTCATCCACGTGGCACACCAATGACAAGTAGGTGGTAGTAGTAGCATCAGCAGCAGCAGCAGCAGTAGCCGAAACAGTGGCAGTAGCAGCAGCAGTAGCAGTAGTAGTAGTAGTAGTAGTAGTAGTAGTAGTAGTAGTAGCAGTAGTAGTAGTAGCAGCAGCAGTAGCAGCAGCAGTAGCAGTAGCAGTAGCAGTAGCAGTAGCAGTAGAAGTAGCAATAGCAGTAGCAGTAGCTGTCACAGTAGCTTTTGTCACCCACCTGGCACACCTGTGGCAGCTCCGCGGGGACTAAAGAGTAGCAGGTCATAACGGGGCTGGCAACAGGAAAACAGCGAAACCTTCGGCAGCAGTAATAGCAGTAGCAGTAGCAGTAGCAGTAGCAGTTGCAGTAGCAGTAGCAGTGGTAGTAGTAGTAGTAGTAGTAGTAGTAGCAGTAGTAGTAGTAGTAGCAGTAGTTTTTGTACTGTTTTTGTCACCCACCTGGCACACCTGTGGCAGCTGTAGTAGTAGTAGCAGTAGTAGTAGTAGTAGTAGCAGTCGTCGTTGTCGTCGTAGTCGTCGTCCAGCAGTAGCAGTAGCAGTAGCAGTAGTGGTAGTGGTAGTAGTAGCAGTAGCAGTAGCAGTAGCAGTAGCAGTAGCAGTAGCAGTAGCAGTAGCAGTAGCAGTAGTAGTAGTAGTAGTAGTAGTAGCAGTAGTGGTAGTAGTAGCAGCAGCAGTAGCAGCAGCAGTAGCAGTAGCAGTAGCAGTAGCAGTAGCAGTAGAAGTAGCAATAGCAGTAGCAGTAGCAGTAGCAGTAGCAGTAGCAGTAGTAGTAGTAGTAGTCGTCGTCGTCGTGGTAGTGGTAGTGATAGTGGTAGTGGTGGTAGTGGTTGTAGTAGTAGTAGTAGTAGTAGTAGTAGTAGTAGTAGTAGTAGTAGTGGGAAACAGTCCTAGTAATTTGCAACGAAGACAGTAGTGATACGAGTGGCAGAAGCAGCAGCAAGCAGCAGGACATATTAGTAGGAGTTCTGCTATCTACTAGTGGTACGTGGCATCAACGGCATTAAAAAAAAAACAATGCCGCCGGACCCCGATCCTGCCCGATCCCGCACCCGAAGTGAGCTTCAATCGGCGAAACAAGGGTGCAAACGTGTGTCCATGTGCAAACAACACGAACAGCGCTCAGCGGTGCTGATGCTGCTGCGGTGGTTGAGGCGACCATGATGGCGACGACGACGATGACGACAATCACTTCCATTACTCAAGCTGCGCTGCTAACGTTGCGTGACATTGATTGCACCGTGCAGCCTATGATCAACTGTGTTATACAGTCTTTCGGCCCTGATCATCGGACTAGTATTGCTCCGTTTCGAAAGACTCTTGCTTCCGCATCTGCAAGTGGCTCGTCCTGCCTCGGGCCAGGCTCTTGGCGCTTACCCCGTCGCGACCGCGAACCCCAGTTTGAGCCCCGGTGCTGCAAAGCAGGTCTTAAGCTGGCCTGATCTATGCTAACAACGCACGCCACAACATATTCTTGTAGGGTCGTCGCGTCTGCACTGATGAAGGCACCACCTTGTACTGAACGGCGATCAATCAAGCTCGGCAACAAATTCAGTAGCCGTGTCTGCTGTGTGTCGCACGAGAGAGGTACTGAAGGACTCCGCCTGGTCTGCAGGCCAAATCAGACAGTTTGGCGTTGAACTACAGATCGCACTTCGGAAAGCAAACCTTGCGTGTCGCATCATGGATGCGCCAGTGAAGCTCCGGAGGGTCCTGAGTGGCTCAAGATGACCAGCTCTTATGCGAGACGCTATGGAATTCGGACCTTTTGCAACGTTACCATCCGTAGGCCCTCATCCACGACAAGGTACATCCCACTGATGGCCTCAGCACGAAAGGTTCTAATGGCGCCGTTCTTTGCTGTACCGCTTCGGCTCTTGTCAAGACTTCCAAGGCTAAGCACACTCTTGATGAAAAAGGGCTCGTGAGGCCCAGGAGGACCTCTTGGAAAGCAAAGCCTTGGGAAGTACGCTCCCCTAGGAGAACCAACTGCATGCCATGCTCGCCAAGGTCCACGCAGCCATCGCTGGTTGATGTTGGACCGACTGACACTCTCAAGCATCATCGGGATACCACCTGATCACCGCTGCTGGATTTCGCACTTTCCATCCCAACACATGTCCGACAAGCCTGTGAGGGCACGACGGGGATGATGATCCTTGCCCATAAGTTTGCATGCATATGTTTGCATGTGAATGCGCCTTTCATGATCCAGGTTCCTTTCATCTGGCTTGACTTTGCCCCCACACTGCCACGCAGCTTACGAACAGAAACCACAACGCACAGCATCTCTCTCTCCTGTCCGAAGTTGAAAGACTGCACTTTCCGAGGGCCGAGGGCAGTACATTTCTGATCAAGAACCCTTCTGACCTGCCATCCTTCTGGATCCTGGCGAATGTGTTCCATCGAAGGTGAACCGGCCCCGACTCCTGGGCTGCGCACAGCCACTTGACATCACCGTTCTTTCGGAACTGCCGTTCCTTTTCGACCTGGCGGGTGCAGCTAAAGTGCCGCGCGAAACCCGCACCACCCAGCGAGGTTTCCACCCTAACCCTCCAGCCCTCCAGCCAGCCTCGGAAACGTGTACGATGTCGACACGGCAGTTTCCATGCTGCTTCTTCGCTATGGCCCATCGTTTCCCATAAACCTGAGAGCAAAATGGTCGCAAAGACTTTGTCTCCGCCTTGACCGGTTTCGAAACATGCTCGGGCGCTGGCAACATTGACACGAGATGGAAACATGACAGAATGGACAATCCATTTCCAGGTCGTGCTGAATTCTATTAGATTCTGCTGGATTGACTCTATGTTGACCGTTGCCTGCCGTTGCACGCAGTCTACAAACACTCCTGCCTTTCGGCTGCACGGCAAGATGCCTTTATGCGTCTGCCCATGGCAAGCTAAGATCGTGAAGCTTTGCAATGCAATTCAGTGGAATCTGAGCAAAACACCCGACAGTGCTGAAATGGCTGCAGACTGCGGCATGCAAAAAATCACAGAATTGGCCGGCCCGCTCTGATGATCCCTCCAGATAGAACCCCAGACGACGGCTTAGACATTTGCAGGGCGATGCAGTGCGTAAGCCCACGCCATTTTCACTTGCAACGAATCTCGCACTGTTGCGGGCGTGTGCCGTAACCACTCACATGTACAAAGCTCTGCAGGCAGATGACTTCATCATCTTGCTGAAAAAGGCCTAGGCCTAAGCTTGATTAGAATTCGACTGTTGCGCGGTACCTCGCTCATGCTTGAACACTTCAAACAAGTAGGCCAACCGCACCTCAGCATGGCCCCTCTCAACATGCCAGGCTCCTGGGGGTGCCATATTGTGCCGGCCACCTGGGAGGTGTCGTACACGATATACCTTGCCGCCAGCCCATATCATCATCGCTTGTTTCACCGCCAAGCTGCCACTGGTCCTAATCACTGCCTTGGTAGTATTGCTGTGCAGCAGAGGCTCTCTGGGACGCGAAGAGCCCCACCCTCCTCTTCCTCGGGTTCTGCCACGAACTAGGAAAAGGAGGGAATTGCACGGCGGGCATGCTCTGCTGGCATATACAGCCATCACAGATGCAGCAAAAGCACCGTCATTCCAACTACCTCGCATGGAGGAAACTACTGTGACGGGGTCAACAGCAAGCTGGAACTGAAAGCAAAAGAATGAAAGCAAAGAAATCAAGGCTGCACAAGCTCTGTGGCTTAGGCCCCGACTGAATCATAAGCCTCATATGCACTGTTTGAGGCAGGCTCACAAAACACAGCTTGTGCCGTTTGGTACATGGTCAGTGCTATCAAGAATCGCCACGCTGACCTTGGCACATAGCTCTCTGCCATCAGTTCCACACGCAATTTGTGCATCAGCTATGCGCAATCGTGCAGACTTGCGGTGCGGCCTGTCAACCAAGCCATCCAACCTCGTCGGTTGTAGCCTTTAAGCTCTGGCTTAGCTTCCTTCTCCTGCACATCAGCATACCTACCCAAAGCCCACCGTGCTAGACTGCACGAACAGCTTGGCAATCCTCTCGTCTTGTGCCAAGGTCCACCCAGCACATAAGAATGTAGCCACCCCGGCCAAGAATCCTTGAGGCGGAGCGGGCAGATGGGGATTGCAACTAAGGCTTGTCCATGCTGGATCACCCTCGTAGGGACATGCTCCCGGAGGTGGCAACAAAACACATCCAGCCTTACTCACTTTTCCCCATCAAGTGATCAAGGTTCTTCTTCTGGACATAAAGGTTGCACGCATTGCCGCTAGTCAATCATGCGTAAAGGCTTTTAACGGGGGAGCTATGCTGTGCTGCCACCTTGACTTAACCCGGTTGCCACACAACTTCGAGCGTGGAGAAACAGCATTCCGGGAAGGTCGCCATGCATAGATGCCAGCATCGAGTCATCGAGGCATTGGCGATACCGTGTAACGTGTAAAGGTCACCGACTTGTTCACAGATTCGCCCACAACTCTGGTAGCTGAGCTGGGTCGGTCGAGTACCGATGCCCGACTTGAGCTGAGCTCGTACTTACGAGACCGTGGTGGTGCATACAAAAACTGACCAACTTGTTGGATGTAAGTACGAAGGCAGTACCAAACTGAAGACACATCAGTCCTTGGCAACGAATCGGCCATCTGCTTG